AGAGCCGCTTGTCCTCAAGTGCAAAAGGATGGATGACATGCAATCTTCAACTTGTAAAACTGTGGGATGCAAACAAAATGCCTCTTATTACCTCTTATTATTCTGCAACTAGGACTGTTTTTATGTGCTCTTTTAAATTCTTCTCTATATTTAATTAATATCCTGGATCAAATGGTCCTCTATATGTTTTCCTCTATGTCGGATTCCTCGAATTGCTTCTTTCCCACTCCACCGCTTGTCCCATTAGAAGGCTGCCAAATCAAGCTTGCTTCTTCCCACTCCCTTCCCATTTAGAGGCTGCCAAATCACAAGCAAGACCCTCTAATTGTGCTAACAATTGATGTTTGATTATTTCTTTCTTTTGCTCCACTCCATCTTCTATACACACAACTATTGAGACTTGAAACATTTGCTGGAAAACTATTCGCTCTGCGGCAGTTTTAGGTTGTTCCAATTTTGCCAACTTTCCTAAATTATTACTCTTCATAGGTGGTCCAAGAACCTCCAACTCTGTGAATTTTGAAATTGCTACGAACAGGTGGTCCAAACCGAAGATTACACTGGTGGGTGAACTCCTCCCACGTGGGATCCGGCATATCTTCCAATAATTGCATGTACCAAAGCTGTGCTGCCCCCTCTAAATGATAGGCAGCCAAGCTGACTTTCTCTTCCTCCGAGCTGGATTGATGACGGAAGAAGTGACCGCGGCGGCTTAACCAAATCAGGGGGTCTTCAAGCCCATTGAAACGAGGGAAGTCAAGTTTGGTAAATTTCGGTACAATTGTGTTTCCTCCAGTAGATTCAGAAATAGATATACCAGAAATTCCCTTATCTTTGCGGCCCTTGGAATGACTTTCAGCACCAGCAGGCTTTCCTCTTTTACAGGATTCCAAATCCAGAGACATTGCATCAAGCTTGGCTTGTATTTGGTCCACCTTCTCTTGTCGAGCTTGGTTGGCTTGCTGCTCGGCTAGGACAATGCTGAGGAGTTTGGTAAGTTGTTCTGAAACTGAGTCTCCCATAACTATTGGCTCTGATACCAATTTGTTATGGTCCCTAGATAAGGATCTAGTTATGGGATGGTCCGCAATTTGGATTTCTAGTGTTAATTTGGGTCCTTTGGGAATTAGGGGAATCAGGTTTGAGATGGGTTATCTTTAGAAGGAAGTTTCTTACTCTATCAGTGGTGACAGACTTAAGAGAATCTGCAATCTCCTAGAGGCTCGTTAAGAGAAGAACTCTACAATCTCTTTGTATGTTTTAGGAACTCAAACCTTTTTTTATAAAATTCTGCTTACATTATTCCTGAATATCACAACCTTTTTAAACACTAAATGCCGAAGCTAAAACTACCCACTACCTCACTAATACTACCCTTACGATAAATAACTTGCTTAAACCACCCACTAAATCTAATACCCATTAACTAAAGAAACTGAATAATAACATGAATAAACACTGAAATAACTAAATAAAAACCCGTCAAATATGCAGTAAACTACCCTAAAGGTCTTAAGCAAGCGCTTAACAAAATACCTAGTTTGTAGAATAAGTAGGGGTGAGATTTGGCTAGGTAAAATAACAAAGAAACTGATAATAACATGATAAACACTGAATAACTAAATAAAAACACCGTAAATAGCAGTAAAACTACCCTAAGTCCAGCAGCGCTATAACAAAACCCTAGTTTGTAGAATAAGTAGGGAGATTTGGCTAGGTAAACCCTACAAAAAGGCCCATGCATCAAAGTAAGATTCATATGCTTTCATATTTCTCAACAGACTAGTGCAGTCCAAGCCATCAAAAGAGGGTTAGCTTTGACCACACTCTCCCAAAGTTTGGTGTACACAGCTTCCAAAATAATGTTACACGCCATGTGGCATGTAATTGCCAACCTCATTACAAACACTCCATTGCCACTGGCTTCTCTTTTTGCCAAGAAATCAACATTGGTGTACCCAAAGATTCTCTCTAAAAAGCACATTTTCATAGACTTCTAGTACACTCATTTACATTTCTTGCTTAGCCAACATTCTCTTACCTACTAGGTTTCTCCCATCTCATCATGCTTTACCTTCAAATGTTCAATCGATATGTATGAAAATGTAGTCACCAGTGTGAGAACAATCGGAGGGGATACAGAGGAGTTCCCCATAACAGTTGAGCTACATCAAGGTTGTGCTTTGAGCCTATACTTATTTACTCTAGTAATGGATGAGCTAACCAGTAATATACAAGTGGATGTTACGTGATGCATGTCATTACAGATGATATTGTCCTAATTGATGAAACTAATAATAGAGTAAACCAAAAGTTGGAACTATGGAGGAGAACTCTTGAGGATAAGGGTTTTAGGATAAGTAGAAACACGGAATACATGCACTGCGGATTTGGTTTAAAGAAAAAGTAGGAAAGTGAGGTTAGATTGTAGGGTATAGTGGTGTGTCTGAGTGCAATGAAGATGGTCTAAAAGGGGGTCTCAGAAATGAAGATGTTTAACATAGAATTCGAGAATGATGGATGAAATGAAGGAGTGCTATAAGTGTCCTATATGATAGAAAGATATCTAATAAGACGAAAAGTAAGTACTATAGGACGGTGGTGAGACCAACAATGCTATATAGGAGTGAATGTTGGACACCTAATGCATAACATATTAATCACATTAGACATGCTCCAGTTTGCAAATGTGATACTTTAGTAGTGGAGGGTGCTAAAAAGGGAAGAAGTTGACCTCTATTGCTAAGGATCTACAGTCTTTGGATATTAGTGAGGCCAGTGCTACTTTACTGGTCCTGCTCCTCTCCTTTACAGGAGCTTTAATTGGCAGACCTTAGTTAGTTAGTTGTTGTTGCCTATTTTATGTTTTACTCTATTTATTAATGTCACGATTTTAAAATTATGCTTCAAAATTTTTTTTACAACAAATATTTCAAAATCTTTTTCTGACTTATACTTTGATTTGCATTGTTATTAATTTGATTTCATATTGCTGACCCCAACTAGTTTGGTACTAAGGCTTAGTTGTTTTTGTTGTATTCAACTTTGGAATGCCTAGGCTAGTGATATCGAGGGCTTATAACAACAGTTTTTGGTTGTAAGTTTTTTCTTTCCCCTCTTTTTTCTAGATACAGATAAGCAAGATAGGTTTACTAGCTCTAGACCAACAACATGATTGCTTCCAAGTAGCAACAAAATTTTCTTAGAACATCACAAAGAGTTCCAATGAAGTCCCCAAAATTAAGGGTCTGTACAATCTAAAGTCCCTATCTTGAGATTGGTCTTCCTTCAGTTTCAGAATATGAGCAAAAAATGTAATTCCTTTCAAAATGATCCCGAATATCAAAGACTGTATTAAAATGGGATCTACATCGGTTATACACTAAGGATTTCCCAAACTCATATCAGTCCCCCAAAAAAAGATTTAACAGCGAACATTGGTTCTCAAAAAAGATAATAATAATTAAGTTTAGAAGAGTCGCCGAAAATGAAATTCCAACTAAATATGTCCTTGTTTCATTAAAGTTTCATGCTAATTCGAAGTCTCTCAAATACTATTCTTATGTATATTATACGTTTTAATTTTTGGTATAACTTTTTATGATTTAACTTTGTGAAATTCGGGGAGAACGTTAACAAACTGATAAAACATACTGTTATACTGTTCTTAATTTTTGTGTTTTAATTTCATTCAATATTTTTTAATTTAAATTTCATTAGCTAGGATATTATTTGCAAATTCTATAAAGTAAATAAATTTAAGATATAAAAAATAACCAATTTTTATGTTTAACTTTATAAATTATTATTGTTTTCTTTAAAATTTCACACTACTAAACATAAGAGGTACAAAAAAAATATGATCAAATAATTAAGAGCAACTATTTGAGGATTCATAATAAGAAAACTAATATGAAACTGAAAATAAAGTGGGTATGTGGACCTTTTGTTTTATTGAAATTTTAGTCGAGGTACTCCTCAAATATATTCTTTAAAAATGTTTACATAACTCATCATATAAACTAAGAGCATCACAGGTGAGATTGATAATGAGAAAGTTAATATGAAAATAAAAGAAATTCAACCAGACATAGTTAATGGAGAAACGAAAATATTTACAGAACTTAATTATTAGTTTTATTACTATTTCACAAATCTTGGGGACTGATTTTGTTATTAAACCTTTCTTGGGGATGACGTATAACTAACAGAATACTCATTTAATGGTGTCTGTAATGGTGGGACTATTTTGAAAGGAACAAAATTTTGTATGCTTAAATGAGTGTTTTCAAATTTCAAGGAATAATATCCAGCAATCCCAAAATTTTGGAGAATAATTTGGAGCTCTCCCAAAAGAAGAATAATGATTGAAAAGAACAGCACAAAACAGTATATAATCAGAAATGGGGCCTCTTAATAGAAAAGAATAGTGAAATACAATTCCCAGAGCCAAGCCCAAAAGGTTGAAATACTCGCTATGATTCAACTGATGTTGCAGAAAGCACAAAAATTAAAGGATACATATTTCAACAATTTGCTGGTCCACGTCCAAACCTCCTCTACTCAAAGATGCCATTCCTAGGGCAAAAAACTAGTTCATCTGGATATTACTGTCACGATTTTCAATAGAAATAACTCATTGTCAGGGCCTTTTTTTCTGAGTAACAGAACTCTCACATCTAAGTTTTCTGTAAAACTTATTTCATCATATTCAAGAATGGAATTTCTTCACCTCTCTCTCTCTCTTTTCTCTCTCTCTCTCTCTCTCTCTCTATTCCACTCACAGAAAAGAATGAAGTCATTAGCTAGCTAAAACATATGACATTTGAAAAGATTATGTCTACAAGGAACTTAATCATGCAAATATTTAAAAAATAATAACGCCAACAAAAAAAAAAAAAATAGAAATTTGACATCAAGTTGAACAAATTAAAAAAATAAATAAATAAGTAAATAAGTGATGGCTCACACCTAACTGCTGAAGTTCAAGAATGACTTGCCTTTCATTGGTGCGCCAAATCAGACCACCATTGTCCATAACCACCTTGAGCAACTCGAGAGACAACGTCTTACCTCTGAGAAGAATTTGATCATCTGGGTTCTCCTGAGATGAGAATTTCATGGACAATTTGCACAGGTTCCTAAAAAGAAGAAAGCCATCCTCCCTAATTTTACTCCATCCAGCACCAGAACCAAATGATTCAGCTCCATCATTTGCTTCTCTATCACCCAGTTCGCCTCTATCATTCCCATTAGCAACCTTCGAATCAATATCAAGAACAGGGCCGTTACCACTGCCATTCTGCAATTTGGTAGACGGACTATGCAACAGGAGTTTGGCATCTGGAACTCCCTCACTAGCTCCCATAACCTCATTAACAAGATTCTGACAGAAATGTATAGAGCTTCCCTCATTCAAACTCTTATCCGCAAATTCCAACAATTCACTTACTGAGACAGTTTTAACATTAACATTCATAGAATCCTCCTCAACCCGGGTAAAAACAATGAGCACAATCTGAGCAAGAACAGATTTGGCACAGATCTGATTAGTCCCATTCAAGCCACCAAGATACACATTGTAGCATGTCCTAACAAGATGCACCAAACACTCTCCGCGAATCAAAACGCAAGGAGATCGAACAGCAGCGAGCAAAACTCTCAGCACAGCAAGCTCTATAGTTTCCTCTCCAATCGCACAAACCTTACAAACACTCTCAATCATATTAAAAACAACATTACTAACATTAACAGAGGAATTACTATCGATCTCACCTCTAATGAGACCTAACGAGAAAAGCCTGAAAGCACATTCGAGTGCAGGCTCAACGACCTTAGCATAGGCGGAATCTAAGGCAAGAACTAACGGTTGAAGAACGAATTCGGCATCGGAAAAAGAGATACCGAGCAGAGGAGAGTAGGAATTTGGATCGAAGACGGAATCGGAAAGGGATTCAAGCTTATCAAGAGCGGATTTGCAGGCGGAAACGAGATGAGAGTGCTTTCGCCACGCAGCGTTTTTGACGATTTTGTCGAGCGAAGGGCCTAAAACTCTTCCGCAGCGACTCTGCCCTCCTAGAGTTAGAGAAGAGGACATGGTTACCTCGTTTAGTTCTGTAAAGGAATGTACCAATAGATTTACAAACAGATCTACATGCTTATTATCTCTCTGCTTCTTTCTCCTTTCTTTCCTCTCTGGGAATAAAAATGGCAGAGGGAAAAGAAGGAAATGCTGTTTAATTAATTTATTGGAATTTAGACAAAAAAAAAAAAATTAAGAATAATAGTCAGTAAGACTTCGTCATTAGTTGGGTGCAGTAGTGAGCCGACAGATGCGTGAGTGAGAGGTGGAGGGGTTTGATTCATGTGGGGACTTCCTATTTGTTGTTAGGGGTTTGTCACGTGACCATCAAGAATTATTATATCGTCAATATCATCAACCTCCCCAAACGGCCCAATATATCAGAATTTTGGCAAAAATAATGTTGTTCAAAGAAACTATTTCCCAATGTAATCCAAAATCAAAACTATTTACTAATTTAATATTTATCATGGTATGGAGAGAGAGTGGTGCACTAAAATGACCAACTCAAGTGCGAATTCAGTGCAATAGAAAAAGTAATTCGTATTGACAAACAGTCAATAAAAAGTAATTATATAAATAAACGATAATTTTTATTTTGTATTGAGACCACCAATCAACTATGGTCTCAATACAAAATAAAAATTTTTAATTATCAAATATGGTTTTCACTAAGACACACGATTCATTCAGTGGTTTTAGTGCAAATATGGGATGCAACTACTAACCAGCAAAAAGTACACGAGAAAATAGTATTTTATTAAAAATCCACTAGATTAACTAATGGTTTCAATAAAAAATTAGATTAACTAACTGGTTTCAAATAAAAAAAATAAAAAAAAGAAAACTTATTTGCTCAAAGTATCTTTTTTTAATTTTTATTTTGTATTGAGACCACCAATCAACTATGGTCTCAATACAAAATAAAAATTTTTAATTATCAAATATGGTTTTCACTAAGACACACGATTCATTCAGTGGTTTTAGTGCAAATATGGGATGCAACTACTAACCAGCAAAAAGTACACGAGAAAATAGTATTTTATTAAAAATCCACTAGATTAACTAATGGTTTCAATAAAAAAAAAATAAAAAAAGAAACTTATTTGCTCAAAGTATTTTTTTTTCACCTAACTACAAGTATCATCTAGTAGTTTTGGTTCAATAAATATTTCAAGTTAAGAAATAAAAGCATAATTTTGCTTATACAGTTACAAATTACCAAGAGTAATTAAGTGCTTGGAGTTGAACTTGTATTATGTTAAAAATGTCTTAATAACTAACACATGAAAAAAATAGTTATATTAACATGTACATTCATGTTCTCTTGTACCATATTTTGGAGGCCTTCTATTATGCGCGAGTTTCAACGTACTGCATCTTCTAATGCTTTGATATTCTTCTTCATGCTCAATATTTTTATCGCATACGATGAGCTTAAATCATATTCACAAATGGTTGTTGTGGCTAAGAAATGTCAAATGAGTTTGTTTATCGATTGCCACCATCATCTCAAAGAAATCATTAGATGAGTGCATAGCATGGGATGTAAATCATCTCATGTGCGGAAAGACGCTGTAGAAGTATTGAAAGCAGGTATTATATATTGAAATGACATTGACTCACCCACACAACCAACTTGAAGCACTTTATTACTCTTTGGTAATTTGTAATTGTGTAAAAAAACTTATGTTTTTATTACTTAACTTGAAATATTTATAACCCAAACAAAAACCACCAAATGATATGTGTGTTTTGGTGAAAAGATACTTTGAGTAAACAAATATTTTTTTTTTATTGAAATCATTAGTTAACATGTTGGACTTTAAATAAAACTATTATCTCGTGTACTTTTTGCTGACTAATAGTCACATCCCATATTTGCACTAAAATTACTAAATAAATTGTGTATTTCAATGAAAATGTCATTTGACAATTTAAAATTTTTATTTTGTGTTCAAACCACCAGTTGAATTGTTGGTCTCAACACAAAATAAAAATTATTATTTATTCACATAATTACTTTTTGTTATCTGTTTGTCAGTATGTATTACTTTTTCTATTGTATTGAAATCGATACTTGAATTGGTGATTCTAATGCAACACTCTTTCTCCATAGCAAGACAAACATTAGATTGGTAAAAGTTTTGATTTGGCATTAGATTGAAAAATAGTTTTTTGAAGAATATTATTTTTGTCAAAACTCTACGTTCAACTCCAAATTTTGATAATATTGCATAAATTTCCGTACTAAAAACAATTTGATTCTAATATTTTAACTAAATTTATCTTAATATTTATTTTCTAACTCTAAGACCATGTTCGGTAATACCTTTTGAACTGGCTTTTAACGTTTTTGACCAAGTCAAATTCTATTTTTATTAATTGTAGTGTTTGATAACATAGTTTTTATAATAGCTTTTAGAGCTTGAAGGAGCTCTTTATAAAACGTTAAATATTCTAACGTTTAACTTTTAACATTTAACATTTTAGCTTTTAATTAATTTTTTTGACAATCATACCCATTTTCCTCTGAATTCAGTTAATTAAATTTTTTTTTTTTTTGTCATTTTAAATTAAACAACTAATTAACTAACTATTTTTACCGAATATTTCTAATTGACACCGCTATATACTAGTTACCAGCTAAAAGCTAATAACTGACAGTTAATATAATAACTACCAGCTACTACAATAATTAACATCTACTAAAACAGCTAATATTGTTAAACAGACTCTAAACACTAAAATGAGGTTACCCAAAAAATTCAATGAGAGGGGTCCAATAAAATAAATATAAATAACAAGAATTTCTTATAAAAAGAAAATAAAATATTACAATTAAACTAATAATCCTCATCTATTTTTCATTGACTGAAATCTATTTATAATAACTATGCTGTCAATACTTACAAACATATCTCTTTTAATGTAAGGCACCAAACAATCATTCAATTGAGTATCTCTTATTATATTACTAAGTGAACTTTTAATAATTTTCATCACAGAAAAAAACTCTTTCCACTATGGTTATAGCAACCGGCAAAACTAATGATACTTTGATTAACAAATACACCAAAGGAAAAATAATATGTTTTTTTTTGTGGTAATCATCCTCTTAGCAAGACCTCCAATTCCATTCACTTCAGAAAGATTCTTATCCATAAGCATATCCAGGATAAAAGTTTTCAAACTAAGATTCGAGTTTAATTAGAGCAACTGGAGAAACTTCAGATGGATAAAACTTTACAATTTGAATCAATTTGCCCGTATGAAATGCAGAAAATTAATTTTTAGGATCAAGACATAACATAAATAAAAACAAATTTCTATTAACTTCATCAAATCGATATTAAGTTCTTGAAACTACATGTCAACACAAAATAAAATAACTCAACATGATAATGATGAAGATTTGTCATTTTTTCACTTCCGCGCTATGATTTTCATCTAGCTATATAGATAACCTCCATATTTATGACACTTACATCATATTTACCACAAAATCCAACATCTCAAGCAATAAAAATTTCTAACCATCATTTCTAACCATTCACAAATGACATTTTGAGACTTAATCAAATAATCAATCGAATATTTGATTAAAATGTAATCGATCAAATAATATTTGAAAAAGAAAATGGTTCTTCTACTCAAAAATAAAATGTTCCAAATATTCTTGAAAAATCTTGCTCCCCTAAGACCATTTATGTCTACAAGCATTAGGGTTCCAATTCATGGATCATTGCATTTATTATATTTTGATCCCTCTTTTGTAAAACTTAGGATAACTCATTTGTAATATTCAAAATCTTTTTTAATAAGATGTAACAAAAAGACAAATTCAAATCGACTCATTATATCTATCAAATCAATTCTTCAGCCATTTGTGGATCATCACTCTCATTTGCTCTAATATACTTAAGAACATCAATTATAAAAAAAAATAAATGCATCAAATTAATTAGTATACCATAATGGGAACCCTAACGAGTATCTCTCAGTCTCTTCAATGTCATTTTTTTAATTAAAGTGTTGTCCAGTTTTTATTACACCATTTGAAATCCCTTCAAGCACTTTCTCCATTTGCTTTACTCGAAGCATATCCTTACATTTACAAGAACCTCCAATAACATTGCACAAAAAGTAATAGTATTGAAAAAAGAACTTATACTTGAGTGCTTTTTTGTAACAATAACAAGCGTGAGTTCGAGTTGATGGGCAAAATAATGAATGTAATAAACACTAAAATTCTCCTTCATAATCAAACTTTTAAGTCCATGAAATTTACCTCGTATGTTACTAGCTCCATCATAGCGTTGACCTTCCAAACTAGATATACTAAAGCCATAAGTAGAAAATAGAGAATTAATACCCTTTTTAACTGATGTTGCACTTTTATCACGTACATGCATAAAACTGATGAATCTTTCAATGAGACATCCAAATGTATTTACATATCTTATATGGCAACTTCCATTTGCTCTTTAACTGATACATCTTGACATACATCAACTGAAATAGAGAACAAAAATCATCACCGATATATGAAATGATTGCCTTTATTGTCTCAAATGCAACTGCATTAATTATATCTTTTTGAATATTTGACGATGTGAGTTTGAGAGTTTCAAGAGCATTCTTTAACGGCCGAATGCATAAAATCTCCCTTCAACTTTCTTACTTTAACCATTTATCATCCTAAATTTTGTAAAAGACCTATCACGCACTTTAACTTACAATTTTTGTAACTATTTTGCCCCTAATAAAACATTAAGAAGCACATGATAGACATGCACAATGATGTGGCAATTAAAGTAGACAGCTGAATGATGGTTTTGAAATGTGGCCTCCAAACAAACAATAAATCTACCTTCATTCTTGTTTATTTTTCTTTGTCAAAATCCTCTATTTAAATGTTCTTCAATAAAATAACAACTTATGTAATTTAATTAAAGAAAGAACAATGGAAGCACTGAAATTCTACAACTAGTATATATTTATTTTATAAAAAT